GTTCAGGTGATGATAGGGATGGGATCAGGTGGAGATGGGATGGGTTCGGGTGGACAGGGGATAGGGTGATCGGGCTGTGGTGTGTCATTGGCGAGTCTGGGAATGGTCAGCGTGATTTCACTTTTGAACATATCAAGGTTGGTCTCATGCCGTATTAGTGTCCCATGGTCTTGGGAAGAATGTGTGCTCTGCTGGTGGATGGTGTGTTCTCTCAGCATCAGGCCTAGCTAGTTCAAGGTGACATTCAAGTTCTCTGTGTTGGCCTAGATCTTTCCTTTATTTGCTCTGCCCATTATTTGAAGTAATGCATTGACGTCACCTGGTCGGTTCCTGCCTCTCCCTCTTTGCCTTCTTTTGAATTAAGTGGGTATTTTCTTGTGCAGCACTTTAATTCTCTTAATGAGTTTTCACTGTATTTTCTGGGTTGTTTTCTTAGTGGTTGCTCCTGTGCTTACTGTACGCATTTCAGCATATTAAAATCTATTTTATGTTCTTACTAAATTACAGTGCAACACGGAAACGTTGCTTTTAAGTGGTTCTATTACTTTATTCCTCTTTCTGAGGTTATTGCTACACATATCACATCCACGTGGGGGGCCACAGGCTACAATATTACTTTTTCAACCCACCTTTCTAAAAAAAGCCCGAGGGGGTGTGTATCTGCAGGGTCTCTCTCATTATCCGTCGGACACACCGTGTCTGGTCCTCTGTGTTTGTCCCCGTGAGTCTGAATTGCCATCCAGCCTTGTCACCATGCTCCCACACATCCTTGTCACTTTCCCTTTCCTGTGTGCCTCAGAAGCTTATTACATTTCTATTTGTTATGGGCCTAATAATGCAGCTCTATAAATGTCATTTGATATTATTGCTTTTTAACTCAATTGAGAGAGAGAGAGAAAAGAGGGGGCATTCAACTCTACCGTTGCTTATAATTGCATAATTTATCGGTGTTGCGAGTGTAGATCTGGGTTTCTGTGTGTCTCTGCATCTCTGTGTGTGTATTTCTGTATGTGTGTGTGGGCATGTCTCTGTGGTTTTGTCTGTGTGCGTACATGTGTCTTTGTGCCTGCACTGATGTGCATGTCTGTGTGTGTCCTTGTTATTGGTGACCCTAGCTTTCGCCCTGGAGCATTCTCTGCCATTTCTGTGTCAGGTGAAGCTGGCGTTCTGACCACATACTCAGTAGGTTGTTCACCCAGCAATGCCTCCCTGCTTCATTTCTGAGGGGCTTCATTTCTGCTGGACTCTGAGGCATTTCCTAGGGGTACTCTGTGTCCCCTTATTACCTCTGTCTCCACAGTTGACTCCGAAGTCTGCTCTCTAGTCTGTCAGGTCCTGGAGGGAAGGGCTGCTTTCCTCCCGTTATTCAGCATTTTCGATTCCTTTGAGGCTTTGCACTCAGTCATGTCCAGGCTGCCTCCCTCCTGCACTCCCTGGCATTCTTCCTAGCCCTCATCAACTGTTGAAGCAGCTGTGGTGTCTTCAGACACCTGCTTTGCTGCTCTGCCCTTCTCTCTAACCCTCCCCAGTACCCACCAGAAGTCCTACGGTATCTGCATTTCTCTGGGGACTTTGCTGCCCCCGATTTCCTCTGATCTTCATGAAGCATAGCCTGCATGGCATTTGAGTCTCCCGGCTCCTCCTGCTGCTGCCTGGGCCCTGTTGGCTCCTCTAGTTTTCAGTTCCAGAGTGCCCGTTTCTCCTTTAAAAAAAAAAATCTCATCTGCTAACTGATACACTCTGCTGGTGTCCTCAGTTCTCTCAGGGTCGTCAATGACGTCGGCCCCTCCTAGGCAGTGTTTCAGCTGCTTTTCTGTTGTGTGGGCCACGTGTTCTGCTATCTTGTATGACTTGGAAACTTTGCCGAGGATTTGATGTCTTGGATGAGATACTTCAGGGCTCTGAGCCTCCTCCTGAGGCTACCTGTCCACCAGCCTACTCTTCTGTCACCATCTGGATTTCTTGAAGCTGACCCTGGGCTGACCCTTCCTATCAGAGTGTAAGAGTGGAGGAGCAGAGAGAAGCCAGTACCCGCCTGGTGTCACGCTGTTCTTCATAGGGCCCTGGGAAGGGACAGCAGCCTCTGCTCTGCAGAGCTCCTTTCTACCCTGAGAGTCAGCTGAGGTATGGCCCAGAGGGCTGCCATGCCCGAACAGAAAGACTGGGGTTGGCGGGTGGAAGGCGGCCCAGGTGTCAATGGCTGTTAGAACAGAGCTCTCCACTGCCAAGCTGAGGCCTGGGAATAACTAAGCCTCACTCGTGTCGCCAGCCAGTACGAGGTAAGCCATTCACATGTCCGTGGCCTCCCTAGTCTTACAGTGGTTTCAATGAGGCTCTTGAATTCATTTCTGAGGAAAGTTCACAGGGACTCCAAAAGTTTCAAAAACTGGATCCTTGTCATCACCCATAGTCTCACTGTGCATGGCCCGTGCAGTGTCCTGCTCTGGCTTGTTGGCCGTGTTGACCCTCGCCCATCCCAAGGGATCTCCGTGAGCACAGTGGACCCACTTCCTGCAATGGGCACCTGCCATTTTCACAACTGTCATAAACCACGGCCCAGGCATCAAAGACCTGCTGCTTGTTTCCTCCTTCCTTCAAATAGGTTTAATTTTCTCAGCCCTCATTATACAAACATCAGATTAACTGTGTTTACTGTGTGCTTGGAGTTGGCAAATGCCATTTATTGGAGGCTGAAGTGGAGGCGTTGACCCTTGACACCTTCCTCGGGATTCCCTGCGGAGCCGGGGATGTGGGTGGGCGGCTACCTCCAGCTGCTGCAGGCCTCGCAGCTTGGCCCCACCGGCCCACGGCTCCTGTCTGCCTCACCGCTCAGGCTGGGCCATCACATGGGTGCTTTCATGTACGTGTGGCCGGCCCAAGGCTGGAGGGGCCGCTGCTCTCCAGTGGGGTCAGTCCAGGGTGACCTGCTCCTTATGTGCACCTGAGTGCCCAGGTTGGAGGAGGGCTCCTTCCCGTGACTTCTGACCTCTGTGAGGAAAGATCTAAAAATCGACACAGATGACTACCTGCAGCTTACTAGACTCTTCATGGAGACGGGGAGAGGGGGGGAAGGTGACCAGGGCTGATGGAGTGTGGTATGTGACGGGTGTGTGAGTGCGTAGGTGGGGGTGTGAAGGGGGTGTGAGGAGTGTGGGACGGATGTGGAGTGAGTGTGTGTTGATGGCTGTGAGTGAGTGTGGGATGGCTGTGTGAATAAGGGAGTGAGTGAGTTTGTCATAAGTGTGTGAGTGAGGGTGTGGTGGATTGTGAATGTGTGTGTGATGAGTATGTGTGTATGTGTGACACACACACACACACACACACAGAATCCACTCTCTCCAAACTTGGATACTGTACTTGATCTGCCAGTGTTGAAGAATGAGCTATTTGCAGTGTTAAAACACTGAGGGACATCGCCTACAATGCGGAAGTCCCTTTGCGAAAGGAGGAGGCATCCTGCTTTCCAGTGTGGCAGCGATAGGTGTCTTCTGATGTCCACATACATGGTCCTCACAGAACGCAGTCTGCAGCCCTGACACAAGCTCTCTACAAATAGAACACCAGGCAGCTCTGACCCTGCAGCCTCCATCCATCTTCCCGTCAGACTGCCCTTAATTAATTTCGTCAGGAGCCCGTGAACTGTGTCCTTCATCTTGCCAGGGCAGGGTTGGCTTCCGGCCTAAGTAAAGAGAATCTGCAGGCAGCAGGGTTTTTAACCCCCCAGTCCCTAATGAAGAAGGAGCTGGAGCTGACACAGGAGACCCCGCTGCAAGCAGAGAGCACGGGAAGCATAGTCCCCCCAACTTCTCCCCCCCTCCCTGCTGCCGGTGTTTCAGCCGACACTAATCATAATCAAAGCTTTTAGAAATCTAATGCTGTTTGGAAGCTGAGGTGGGGGTTGGGGGAGCCGTGGAGTCAGTTACAGGTTTGTTGGTGGCTGTGTCCTGAGCTGGGTACAGAGGTTTGTGGAAGTGAGGGAAACAGCTTGTGTCCCTGGGGAGAGGAGGGAGTGTGGCGCCTGCATTTTTATCACCAGCTCATGGAGGACAGATGTCACAAGGTTTGGTGTTGTCTATTGAACTTGATGACTTCTGTGAAGCCCCCATCATCTGGGGGGAGACCCCACTGAAGCCCATTCCAGGCCTGCCTTCCTCTTAGTTTTCATTTGAGAGGAAGCCAGCTCAGCCTCTGAGGGGCAGGGCTGCCGTGGTAACCAGCTCCCTACCCTTGGTCAGGTTTAGATGCTGTTCTAGTTATTGTTATTATTTCTGTGACTGAACACCAGAGAGCAACTTGGAGAGGAAAGGGTTTGTTTTCCTCACAATTCCATATAACAGTTCATCGTTAAAAGCTGTGAGGGGAGAAACTCACACAGGACAGGGACCTGGAGGCAGAAGCTGAGACAGAAGCCATGGAGGATGCTGCTTACTGGCTTGCTCCCCATGGCTTGCTCAGCCTGCTCTCTTATAGAAAGAACCCAGGACCACCAGCTTAAGGAATGGCATCACCCACAATGGGCTGTGCCTCCCCCCCTCACCAGTCACTAATTAAGAAAATGCCATACAGCCAGATCTTATGAAGACATTTTGTCAACTAATTTCCCCTCCTCTCTGATGATTCTAGATTGCGTCAAATTGACATAAAACCAGCCAGGACAAATGACAAGTGCTGATTTCGTGTGTGTAAGACCTGTCCACTATGGAACAGTGCTGATGAAAGGTTAAGAGCCCAGAGCCCAGAGCAGAGAAATCACCACCTGGAGCCAGTGCTGGGAATTCAGTACCAAGTCCATAAAAAGCACACACCAGCTTCTGCCTAGCACTCAGAACAAAGTCCCAAGAGGCTTGAGGTACAGACTGCACACTTGCCACACACAGACCAAGAGCAAACATTGGAAGGTGACCTCAGTGACTTCCATGGGAGATGCCCAGGTCCTCTGTTGGTTCTGGCCAGCACTCCCCAGAAGTAGTTCCCCAGATATGTCTGTGGTCCCCACCAGGATCTCACGAGGCCAAAGCTATAGGATAGCGATAGGCTGGACCCTCTCCGAAAGGTCACCGTGTCCCTAAGAGGGATGCATTTGACCCAGAGAGAATATGTGATGGGTGACAGGGCCAGAAGGACTCCAGATGGCCCACAGGAGAGTGCCACAGTGTGCTGGGGTTCGGGGAAGGCAGTTTCAGATGAGACATTGCTGGGAATAGGTGGGAATCTGAGCGTCCAGGATGCTGGTTATGACAGGGATCAGCGTCAGACACTGAGGGCTTTGCTCTTCATCTGCCTCTCCTGTGTGGTCCTTGCGATAGCCCCAGCTGAGCGCTCCACAGGCTCCATTTTGTAAATGAGATCATGGCTCAGAGAGGTTCAGCCAGCTCCCCGAGGCTGCCCAGCAGGTCTGATGTGTCCTTGTGTCTCAGGCATTCTACCTCTCTGCTCTGCACTGTCCTCTGAACAGCCTGTCTACCCTCTTGCTGTCCTCCTAGCTGCTCATCAGTCATTATGTGATGGCGTAAAGCCACGACCTGGGACCAGCCCTCACTTCCATCATCCAAAGTGATGGAGGCAGTGTTGCCATCTTGAGTGGACTGCGAGAGCTTGACGTAAAAGATGTGCCTTCCAGAGCCTGGGGACTGTGTGCCACCATATGCCTTCACGTCTTCTTGATGCTTGAGCTCTGACTGCATCCGGGAGGGAACAGAGGGTCCTTGCTAATTTCCCCACCAATCCCCATGAAGAAGCAGCTGTGCTAGTCCAGCGACACTTGCAGGGGAGCCTGAGGGTGATCCAGGTCCATGGCAAGGGTTGTTTCCCATTTCCCCATGCTGGCCATCCACCTCCAGAGACTCCCTGAGGTCCTCTGTATTTGGCTTTAAACTGGTCCCTGCCTCAGAGGCAAGGCTGTGTGGGGAACTTCTTAAAAAGATGAAGCTAGGCCCTTGAACCACAATCCCAGGAGAGAAAGTGGAGGCATGGAGCTCTCGGTCTTTAGGGGGCACTATAGAGCTACAGGGTGGAGCTAAGCTGCCCTCTCACAGAAGCTAGTGGAAGCTGAGAAATAGTTTCTTCTAGAGCAGTGGTCCTCAGCCTTCCCAACTCTGCAACCCTTTACACATTTCCTCCTGTTGTCGTGACCCCTCTCATCCACAAAATTATTTTGTTGCTACTTCATAACTGTAATTTTGCTACTGTAAATATCTGACATGTGGGATATCTGCTGTGCCACCCCTGTGACCCTAGAGGGGTCACAACCCACAGGTTGAGAGCTGCTGCTCTAGAGCCCTTTCTCTTGAACGTCTTCCTTGGAGAGAGCTCATGGTAGAGGATGGAGCCAGCTCTTTTGGCTCTTTGCCCTCTGTGGAGAAGACAAAGGGTCCCCAGATCCCTGTGGAAGATTCTAAGTGGCCAGAAGCAGACTTTGAGAGGGGTCAGTCTGAAAGTTCAGGTGTGTTTGGGTGAAGCACAGCCGTGTTTTCAGAGTGAAACCCCCCATGCCACAGCTGAGCTAAGGAACAGCAGCAGCTTCCTCCTTATGGAGCCTCCCATCTGAATGTATACAAACCCTCTGAACTTTTGAAGTGCAGAGAGCGGTCAGCTTGCTCTGGCCTGCTTGGCTCTAAGAGCAGTTTGACCCGGAGTTCTTTCTTGGCAGGGAGACAGAATGCTGTGGGAATTGCTGGTCTAAATGTTTTTCTAGTTTGTTCTTAGACCTCACTTCTACCACTTCTCCAGAAGTCCGATGAGACTTTGTAAAACAAGTGCAGCTCAAACTGGCTTAGACATTATGGGAGCTTAATGGTTCATATAGCCAAAAAGATGGTGGTAGAATTCAGGCCTTGATCCATGGCCACAACAAATTTGCCTTTTTTAAAATGTCCTCACTGGCAGTGCCCTGAGCTTTTCTTAACTCCATGTGGTGCCAAAGTGGCTACACAAGCCCCATTTGTCCCCCCAATGTCCTTGCCCTCTCTGCAACCCCATGGGGAGAGATTTCTTTTTTCCTCCCAATGTCAACCAGCAGTCCCTGCTGGAGTCTTATTGGTTCATTCAGGTCACATATCTGTCTTTAAATCAATTGCTTTGGCCAGGGGGTTTTGAGAGGTGGGGGTTGATGGTCTGCTGAGCCAGTCATGGGTCACATGCCTGAGAGCCAGAAAGGAGCCAGCCTCTGGGCCCCATAGACGTGGAGAAGCTGGCTGCAACACTGGCAGCATGGGATTGCACATTTGATAGTCTAGCACAGCTGGTCCTAGAATGTCCCCTTCGGCTGTGGCTGTGGACTCTCTTAGGGAGCCAGTCTGTGGAGTGTGGGGTGTCAGCAGAGGCCTGGGTCTCTGCCTACTGAATGTCCAGGATGCACATCTCCATCAACACACACAAAATGTTCTCAACTGCGCGCACATGCTTCTCGTGGGCCAGCTTCACCTAGCTAGGAATCAGGGCCCGAACAAGAGAACAAGCTCCCTCCTTGTCACCATGGGCCACCCTGCCCTAAGCCCTGGGCTAGGACCGACCCCTAGCCTCCTATGTAGAACCAAAAGAAGGTGCTATGTGAGTGTGAGCATGTGTGAGGTCTTGCGCCTAGCTCTGGGCCCAGTGTTCAGCCATAGTTCCCAGTACATTGCCAACCAGGAGCTGAACACACCCATTTGTAGACAGGAGGGGGGATGGGGGCAGGTCATGTGACATCTCCTTCTCTTCACAGGGTGTCCTCTCCTCATCTGCATCATCTCCATGTCATCCTCCATGGACAGCTACGGGACAAGTGACAGGTGAGTGACCTTGCGTCCTCTGAGAATGCCTTGTGATTGGTAGGTCTCCTGTAGAGAAGGTCACTAAAGGTGCCTCAGTGTTGATCTCAGATGCCCACTTTCACCTCAGGACAGTGTGGGCACCAGCTGGCTCCCCCAGAACTGGGCAGTGGGAGCTAGAGCAATCCCTTTATGCTCTTAGAACCAGCAATGTAAACTGGGCGGTGGTGGTGGCACACGTGGGAGGCGGAGGTAGGTGGATCTCTGATTTCCAGGACAGCCTGGTCTGCAGAGCGAGTTCCAGGACAGCCAGGGCTACATAGAGAAACCCTGTCTGAAAAACAAAGCAAAAACAAAAACAAAAACCCAACCAACCAAACAAAAGAGGAGCCATAATATGGGCATTATAATATTCCAGGGTGTTTTCTTTTTTTACATCTATTTATCCAGTGTGTGTGTGTGTGTGTGTGTGTGTGTGTGTGTGTGTGTGTGTGTG